CCGCCTGCGACTTAGGGTTTAATTTGCCATATACATCTTTTTCTGCCTGAGTGATTGCGCCTTTTCGTGTGACGTCCAGTCGTAAGTAATATTTATTTTGTTTAAAACCGCAGAATCGATTTTAATGAAAATTTAATCAAAGAATACGTAATTGAAATAGGCACCTAATGAAATAGGTTTAGAGACGATATCATAATAAATCTTCTCTAGATATAGAAGTTTTTTTTTTACTTTTGTACACAAAATATGAGGTCCCGGGTTCAAGTCCCGGATCAGGCCAAATCATTTGTTGCGGTTTTCTGTAAAAAAGTTCTCAGTAGCATCCAGGAGCCAGAAAGTTGGCGGTGTTTCATCACCGTACCTCGGAAAGCACTTCCTGCGCCTGATCTATCCGGTCTTGTCAGTTACTGTCCTATCGGACTAAAGTGAGGAAAAGGAGAGTGCACTTATGCCTGCACATATACCCGGGCACTATAATTCTTGATGAAATACAGATGGCTAGTTTCCATTGAGATTGGCCGCCGTGATCTAAATTCGGTCTGGATGACAATATCATTTTATCTTTCATCAATTATTTTTTCATTACTTTAAAGCATGTTTTAATTTTAACAGAAAATAGTAAGAGCATTTGTAACAATTTGCCGCAACACAAAGTTTAATAAGAATTATTTACACCCGTGTAGTGGCGGTGTAAGAAAAAAAAAAGAATATCCACCACCCCATAACATCCCGTGGGTGTCTTAAGAGGCGACAGCGGGAAACAAATTAGTAAATGGGCAGCAGCTTCCTAATAACGACTAAAAATAAATAAAACTGTGGTTGCCAACCCGCTTACCAAGCGTGGCAACTATGGCAAATATCTCCCTTATGAGGCAGTCTATCGTAGAGGCCTATGGTCTGCAGTGGACTTTAATAGGCTGAAACGGTAAATATTCAAGGTGAGACGCTCCTCTGTATAAGTGTGGTATTATACCATCGCCTCTTACAATGTGTAATACCAAAAACCAGTGTTACTACAATCTAAAGCAAGTAAGAATGGCCCGCGTAACTTCATGATCGATAGATACACGGTACTGGGTAAAAGTTAGCAAAGCACTTGTCATTGTTAGGGTTGCCACCAAACTGATAGAATTAATGGTGTCTTACGTTCGGAAAAAAATATTTCTAAAGGATCTGCATTTTTTGTTGTTATTCGAAAGAAGGAAACCATCTTTTATTCAGCCTAAAATGTGAATATATAAATTAGAAATATCTTCTCTTTGTTTATAAATAATATATTTTACCAGTTTTTGCACTTGAAGTATTTCAATAACTTTTCATTAATTTATATTGGTGAACATAGGCCTACTAGACTGCCTCTTAGGTGGATATTTGCTAGAGTTGCCACGCTTGCCATACTTGAACTCTTAACAGGCAGATACTGCTGCCCATATCCTGTTTTAGTTTCCCTCTGTCGTCTTTTACGACACTCACGGGATGATGGATTCACTTACAATATCAGTTCACGCAACAAATTCAATGAATATAACTTTTTTATCAATTCCTCCTAAAGATTTCCCGTAATATCTATACAAATAAATAAAATTGAAGTGTCTGTTTGTAATGTCAAAATACCAGCTTTTTACTAAATGCATATGAAAGTATATACGGTACTTATAACGAAAACACAATTTTTAAGATTTTTGTCTGTCTGTCCGTCTGTCTGTCTGTCTGTTTGTTGCGGCTAATCTCCGAAACGGCTGGACCGATTTCGACGGGACTTTCACTGGCAGATAGTTGATGTTATAAGGAGTAACTTAGGCTACTTATATTATAGAAAAAGAATTAGGGTTCCGCGCAACATAATTAAAACCCTAAATTACACGCGGGCGAAGTCGCGAGGAACAGCTAGTTTATATATAAAAACCAAAATGCAAATGCGTTGTTACGCTTGAAAACTAACAAGGAATGCTAACGAACCATTGAAAATGGCATCCGATTCTTTACAGTCGACTTACACAAATGTGAGGTACAGCAGCATTATGTTGCTATTTTACGCAGGTATTCTGAAATTTTGTTTTTAATTTTTAGTACAGTGCTACAAAAACAAACTGTACTATTTTTCTATCAGAATATTGTATTCATAATGCTCAATCATTAAATTAAAATATCTTTTTTTAAATATATTTTACAGTGGTACAGAAACAAAACGTACATTTTATATCACAATAATGTATTAATGATACTCAATAATTAAATTGAAGTATATCATTTTTTTTCATTATTTTTTACAGTGGTACAAAAACAAACCGTATATTTTTATATCACAATAATGTATTAAATATACTCAATCATTAAATTAAAATATCGTTTTTCGTCAACATAGTAACATATTGTTCGATATTCGCCAACCCTAATTACATTCGATCTCGCACAGTATTTACTCATTTGGATACAGCTGATTGTAGACGAGTTCATTTTTAGATTTATATAACTCCTATATATAAAAATCATTTTATAAAAAAAATCGTATTATGTAGTAATTACGTAGCCTTTTGTACAGAACGATGAATAATTCATACGTGGTAGAGCCATGATGCAGTTATATTAATTGTATAGTTGTAGCACGAATGGGTCGGCTCGACCGGGTAAGGACCACGCTCTCACAGACTACTAGCGTAAAATAGCAGGTTAATGCTGCTGTTTCATATGGTGAGTATAGAGAACTGGAGACCCTTTTTACTGGAAAAGAGGCATTCCATCTTAGTACTCATGGGTGACAACGCGTCTGGATTTTGATTCGCAAACGAGGATAGATATAGATGTCTATGGGCCACAGCAACCACTTACCATCAGGTGGACTTTGTGCTCGCTTGTCACCCTAATCATCAAAAAATAGAATTAGTTGTGTTAAAGTTTTCGCTTTACTATTCAAATGTCGATGTGATCTGGCTGATTTTGATTGACGTTAGTTCATTCATGTACCCATTTATCCATTAAAAGTCCACTGCTGAACATAGGCATCCTCCATAGACTGCCTATTACATCCCCCATATATATGGTATATATGGGGGATATGCAAACGCAGTTTTGTTATTATTATCAGGAAAATGGTGCTGTTTGCATCTGCTGTTTCAATTTCACTCTGTCACACCTTAGAACATAGGGATGATAGAATGTAAGAAAGACGGTAGCTATTCATGAAGCTCATGTTTATTTTTACATCGCTATTTCGATCTAGTTCACCTGACGACATGCTTCTTACGAGTCACGTTGTTTGTGGAGTAAACAGTACGAGTGAGTCATATAGAGGCTCGTCAGACAGTACAGGCACTTACACTACTCAGTGGGCACCTACGTAATTTATGAATCAGTGCTAACGTTCATAAGGACTATGAGACTGCCCCTTGCGCAACTCAGTAATGGAGTTTCGGTTATGTAATGTTAAATATTTATACAGGATGTATTAAACGGATAAACATGTTTAAAATGTGTGTTTTGTGTTATTTGCTTACTGGATCAGATAATCTGCATGTTTTAAACGCGGATTTGTTTATAGGTTATTTATTTGATTATAGAATATATGACGAATGCTGAGGCAGCTCAGGCTACCTCGAAACATAGCGGAACGCCTGAACGCATGCCGTAAATTTCACTTATAGGTATGCTATCATATAGGCTGTAATTATGATGCTCATGATGAAATTATGTTTGCGGATGTAAATTTAAAACTTTTGTATATTTTTTTTCTTGGGCATTCATTTCGTAACGCTTTTGGTACAAGTAAGTTACGATTCGTTGGTAACAAAATTGAGTATGATATTTTTAAATTTAGATTTTGATGATTGAAGAAAGTCAAAATATTATATATCATTTTTTTATAGGAGAGGGGGCAAACGAGCATGCGGCTCACCTGATGGTAAGTGACTACCGCCGCCCATGAACAACTGCAACACCAGGGGAACCAGGGGAATTGCAGATGCGTTGCCGGCCTTTTAAAAAGTAGTAGGCTCAATTAAGCTAAATTACATAAAATTTATTTGTATTCATACTTGTTATAAATAAAGGATGTCATTTTGGTAGAAAGTGTAAGTAATCTATAGGTACTTAGTCAAACCAAATATGCGGAAGTGTAAAGTGTACTCGAACGAGAGCTAGCAAGTAATTGGACGAAAATGAATGACAATAATAATCTACTGGCCAGTCCTCACACACTTCTTACGCAATGTGAATCGAGATTCGGAACACTTTGAAGCGAGGCTGAGAGAAAGTGCAAGCTGGAGCCCGATTAACGGCCGAGCGAATATATTCGCTAATTTTGCCAAACTGGACTGCCTAATGACGCAACCCATACGTGGGCGAGTTCGATTTAACAATCTCCACGCGCATGGGAATCTAAGTTTCTAATAAGCTCGTCTTACTAACTGTATGTTTACGAGATTCATGTATTTAGTTAAAACAGATAAAATAACTAATGTAACTTTGCATTGTGACGTTAAATTTCGAAAACCAATTACAGTTAATAATATACGGTCCGTGTTACGAAAGTCTAATATCGAAAGTAAGAGTGAATGATTCTCTAAAGACAAAATCGATATCTAAGTATATCTCAGTTTGATATTACGTCAATCCTTTTATTTAAGTCTTCTTAAACTCGATTACTTTCGATTGCATATCGAGCTCGATTTCAACAAGTTTCGGGACCTTGCAGCTCTTATACAAGTTAATGTTCTTACAACCCTACATGGTATTATGATTGTTGCGTTAATAACATTCCACTTTAGCAAGTTGAAAATAATTGCGTAACTGTGAACCGGATTCAGAATTTTTCATTCGTTTCAATTAGCATTGAATAGTGGGAAAGGTTCAATGATGGCGGCTTTCTTTTACAAAAAATAGTAGTTTTATTTACAGAATCTTACATTAATAACAAATATAATACAAATTAACGTCTATGGTGCGATCACATTATTTTTCATAACATTAAAATGAAATGAGATGACTATAGAGTTTCGATTCGTTTAATGGTGAGGCACGCCGTAGGAGGAGGAAAGAGATGGTACTCCGTACGAGCCAGATGGAGCTCCTATGGTGGTGTAGGTGAGTGAGGGAGCAGAGTAAGAGATGGATCCACCGTTGTAACCGTGTCCACCGCTGGAGTAACCACCGCTGGCGTAACCACCGTCGTTGGAGTAACCTGAGTAACCGCCGGCGTATCCACCAGCGTAACCACCACCGTAACCTTCATCAGCCTGGTGGTACTGTGCGACTTGGATTCCCTGCTGAATGTGGCCTAGCTCGATGCCCACAATCCTCTCGTGGGGCACGCCGTAGACCGGAGCTCCGTAGTGGGAAGAGATTCCGTGGCCGGAGGAACCAGATTGGAAGGCCTGGTTGTGGATTTCGTCCTTGAGGATGATGTTCTTGACTTTGTGCAATAGATGGGGATCAATGTTGTAGCCCTCTGATGTCTGATAACCAACGGGAACCGAGCTGTAGTGGCCGCCACTGCTGAGAGGAGACCCATGGCTGCTTCCTACGAAGATGAGGGATGACGGGGCTGAGTAACTGTAGCCAACTGGGGGCTCGGCGACAGCGCAGCCGATCAATGCGAGGGCGACCTGATAAAAATAAAAATAAATATTAAAACTTTTCATCCCGTTGTTGATTGTCGCTCCTAAAAGAAAGCACGATATGGCAACAAAAACAATATGATGTATCCTAATTTCTCCCTAGCTCCGTAAATCACAATTACTTGCAGTCTTGAGGCAAGAGTGAGACTTTTGTGAAACTAAGTCAGTGTGCAAAATGAATATGAATGAATAATGAATGCACTTCGGCTGAATCACCATTAACCCTCAGGTGAGATAGTACTAAAGCACTGGTTTGTAATAGTTAAACTTGCTAATCAATTAGTAATCGATTTAATTTAAATTTCACGCAAATATCGAGTTAATCACAATCACGATGACGTCACGTGTAAAGGGACTACAAAACAGATTTAAGATTTGCTTTCGCAACCACTGAGAATTCTTCCCACATCGATACTAGGGCACCCGTTTATCGGGTAAACGTTAATACTAAGTAAGGCACTATCACTGCACTCCGTGTTACACTTACAATGCTCCACTTGGCCATGATTGTTGTATGGTCTCCGTGACTGTTTCTGGTTGTATGATAACTTGGAGTGCTCTCCGCCGCTTATATAGTGGGTACTCTGCCGTCAACTTTTACTTCGGTCCATCCGGCCGCGCTCTGCGCCGAGGACGAATTACGGGTGAACTGTATCAGGCTTTTTGGTAAAAGCCTTCCTTAAAATTATCGATATTTCGATTCTATTGTATAAAATATATAAACTAAGGAAAATAATGCTGTAATCTTGGAAGATTAAGTGTTGATTGTGACTATATACTTTTAAATATCCTGTATTGTTTATAACACTGTTTAACTTTGTTTAATATTTTTTAATTGTTGGAATCAGTGGTTTGCCAGTAAGCATTTGTCATATTTGGCTTAAAACTAGTTATATAAGAGCCCTGCAATGTAAGAATGTGGACAAACGTTAGTGTATCTAATAAAATAAAATAAAAATATTTCTACGATAGAAAGTATGATTTACCTATAGATTATAAATAATTTTTTTTGAAAGTCATTTTTTTACTGTGACAACGGGTTCGGAAAAAATCCTGTTCTGGAAAGAACGAGTAAGAAACCCAAAGGGACATTTTTTCCATATTAAGATATTTCGATATCGTCTTATTGCAAATTAAATCAATTTAATGTAAGTTGAATGTAAATAATGTTTACCGTTGACTCGTAGAAGACATCAATGTTTTTAATTTGATGGTTCTTTTATTACATTTCGTTTTTAAAATTCGTTCCTAATGTATACACGCATTTCTCATGAATGGTTTTAATGCTTATACAAAATTTGTTACAGCATTTAAAAATTTGTTACGGTGTATTTAATATTTTTAAAGTACGATTATTTTCCATTTTGTTTAGTTTTAAACTTTTTTTGTTCTTATGTGAAAAGTATTATAGATTATATAGGTTTGCTAAATGCTTTATTAAAAAATAGTATTATTAAAATGTTGTAGAATATTGTAAAGTCGATTATATTAGAAAGTCGAATATATAAAACATTTTAATAATACTGCTATTAAAGTTATTCGACATTTTTTTAATACAAGGTTATATAGAGAATTTAAAGTTGGTAGGGAACGTAAAAGATTATTTCCCATAATAACGTTATTGGTAATTGGCCCACCGTTCTAATTAACGGAGATGGCTCTGGTGACAAGTGGCGATATATTCATTTGAATTTGACTGCTTTGTTAGTCTAGTGATCACAAACGCGGTTACTGATCATGAGGTTCCTTCCAGATTCAAATCCCGTCGGGTCAAAATCAATTATTAAACTTTTCTGTCAGGAAATTCTCAAGAGCAGTCAGGTATTAGTTGGCGGTGTTTTAACCCGAAAACACGTAAAAACTCAGAATGCACGTAAAACTGCTAGTCATGCGTCTAACCTCTCTCCAGTCGTGTCGGGTTACCGTCCTATTGGAGTATCAGAGTGATGGAATGGAGAGTGCACCTGTGCACCATTCGGGCACTATAATCCTGCCCTGTGCAGACGGCTAGTCTCCGTTGATACTTGCCTGCGTGATAGAAAGTCTGGAGGACATTATATTATCTGGTTTTATATTTTCATTAATTACTTCCTATCTTAACTTCACTGCCAAACATAGGCCTCTCCCATAGAGTTACTCATAGGCTAGACATTAGGCATAGACATTGCTCTAAATGCCAAGCTAGGCAGACGGGCTTACAACCGTATTTATTTTTATTTTCTGTTCTTATTCGGAAGATGCTGCTGCCCATCTCCTTATTTTGTTTTCCTCTATCGTCTATTACAACACCCACGGAATGTATTGTGGTGAGTATATCAGAATATTTTAAGCTACAAGTTGACGCATTCTTGGAAAGATCAATATCCAGCAGTGTATTTAAGGCTTAAAGGAAATGAAGGTTAATATAATGGAGACCAAATAAAAGTGTTTAAAATCAGTGCTTGTTGCCAGCGATATCATTTGCAACTGGGACGTGTTCCTTCATCGATGACCGTATGAGGATGATGCTCAAAGTTTCTCTGCGGATAGAATTGATGTAATTATTGTTCTCAAACTCAGAAGGATCAGATTAACAGGCATATCCCCATGGATCAGCAAGCTGCAGTGAAAAAAATATATGCAGAAGACGAACATACCGGAATTAATATGTTGTTCTGTGCCGAATTTTATTGATCACTAGCCTCACGCCCCGGCTTTGTCTGGATAGGATGTGTTAATGTAATTCTTTCGGATAAAATAGAGCCTAGATCCCTTCTGGTATTGTTCTCTATCCGTCTGTAAAGTTTCATTACAATTGGTTCAGCCATTCCCAAGATTGACTCGGACAAACTAACAGGCAGACATGGTTGGTGAAGACAAATGGTTATTAAGCCTTAATAGCATGCAAATAACGTCTGTGCTTAATAGAAGCCAGTTATTTCAATATTACAAACAAACACTTCAATTTTCAATTCAACTATATGTATAGATTGATCATGTGAAATCGTCGATGATTTAATTAAGAATGTATTTGGTTATTCGCTGTCTGTGAATCAGCTTTCATATAAGTGTTAAAGGTGACTTTGGTGTAGATTTTATGACGTTATTTGGTAAATATGAATTTAAAAGTTTTTTAAAAGTTTTTAGCACATCAAATTTTTTATAAACAATTTATTATGCTTATCTAAAAACAGTAAATTATCAATGACCGTAGGTTCTTGCTGGCTCTTTTCTATACAGGTGAAACTCTTAAAATATTATTTATAATATCATAAGAGCATGTACTGATTGTTTTGTTTTGATAGAAAAAAACTTACGAAATCTACTATATACGTTGGAGCAGTGCGGCGAGCATTTTGTCTTAGCGTAATTCCTACTTAGAAATTAACATGACTTTTTATATGCAAACACTGCGAAATTCCCCATAATCCATCAACTAATTTAGGGCCGACCCGGGACTCAAATCCAAGACCATATGAACATATTTACAAGGGGAAATGCCTCGAATACTCGCCTTGCGGTCAAGGACGGTTTATGCCGGCTCACACCGACTAAAATCCCATGATATTCCACCTTCACCGCATATTGACAGGCCACGCGAACGCTTACACATATCCAATGGCACCCGCTCCTTGGGGGAGGTCTTCTCCTCCCCCTTTTCCTTCTCAGGTAAGATGCACCAGGAACAAAAAGCGTGCCTTCCTCCGCGACCTCTAACACCACCTGCGCAAGGGACGTCCCCGAGCCCGATACGCGGAGGCCATGGGGCCGGGAAAAAGCGAGCACACGAAAGTACCAGTTTTTCTGACCCCAGCGGCAGATCAGGTCTCTCTGAAAATCTATCAACGCATTCGAAATGGGCTAGCCCTCTCTCAGCGGTTACCTCGGGCCGGCCCTACACCTCGGGCGGGCCAAGTGGGTTCCTTTTTGTTCACCTTGGGTGACTAAGCTACGGCTAATAAGCCCCACCACCATGACAAGGCAGGAATCCGTTCGGAGAGGACCTTGATAGACTTCTAGCCAAAAAAGGTCCTACCACCTTGCATTTAGGGATTTTGTAACAACTGCGAGGTGGGTTGACCACCGTAGTTTTTTTCATTGGACTTTTGATAGGTTTTAAGGAAAATATAATTTAAAATTTAAAATTTTGTACAGCCGACTTCAATATAAGTTGTTAAGTATAACGCAATAACTATTGGCCTGACCTTGATCAAATTATATGGGACCACACGAAAAAGAATCATCGAAATCGGTTTACCCAGTAAAAAGTTATGAGGTAACACACATAAAAAAACATACAGTCTAATTGAGTACCGTCTCTTTTTTGGAAGTCGGCAGTAAAATACGAAGTTTGCGTACACGCGTTGGAGCCATACGGCGCGCATTTCTCCTGTGCCTAAACCCCACTATGCAGTTAAAAGAAGCTCGAAGTCTCTGCCCGTTAATGGGGTGTATATATGCCGTGTCTTTACATTTACTTTTGTATGTGAAAATTAGCGGTGCTCGCGACTTCGTTCGGATAAAATACATCTACAATACTACAAACACTACCTAAATTACATTAGCTATCTGCCAGTGGAAATTCCGTCACAATCGGTCCAACCGTTTCGGAGTTTAGTCAAAACAAACAGACAGACAGACACATAAACTAAAATGAATAAAAATGTTTTTTTTTTGTTATAAGCACCGTATATACTTTCATATGTGTGGCGACGCTGTCGTCGCGTCGCAAGCGAAATACATCGAAGCCTAAATGACGCTATCGTCTATTTGCACGTGGTAGAGCCATGCTGCAGCTATATTAGTAGTATAGTTGTAGCACGAATGGGTCGGCTCGACCGGGGAAGGACCACGCTCTTAACAGAATACTAGCGTAAAATAGCAGCTTAATACTGCTGTGTTTCGTATGGTGAGTGTAGAGAACCGGAGACCCTTTTTACTGGAAAAGAGGCATTCCATCTTAGTCCTCACGGGTGACAACGCATCTGCATTTTGATTTGCAAACGAGGATAAATGTAGATGTCTATGGGTCACAGTAACCACTTAACATCAGGTGGACTGTGTGCTCGTTAGTCACCCTATCCTATAAAAAGAAATCAAAGTATATATCCGAACTATCACCAGGAGCGTTGGCCCCTCCTCCTTTCACCGGTCACATATGCATTTAGTAAAAAGCTTTTATTTTGATATTACAAACAGACACTTCAATTTTATTTATTTGTATAGATTTTGGCCCGACCCGGGATTCCAAATCGAGACCACATGAACAGCAGTCGCTTACAACCACTAGAACAACGATGCATTCGTGGATATTGCGTTAGACTAGTGGTATAAGAAGTATTGCGCGTCCGCGCGGAACTGCAGAACGACTGGCAAATGCCGAGGTAAGATTAATATGCGCTACGGTGCGAATAGCCTCGCGCATTTATTTAAGAATATCTTATTTTCGGTACTAGTGTAAGTATTTTAACTTATATAACTCTTTAAATTATCTTAACACATAACAATATGCCATCTAAGTTCGTA